CCGCGTAAGTCCTACAGGATATGGACACCTTCCTTCCTTACTCACACTCGTATCCCATTCCCCGACCATCAGCCCATACCCCTACACCTAGCCCGGTTCCCTAGCCCTCCCCCTCAGTCCCCTTACCCCCCCTCCCATCCCCAATCCCTACCTACCTGCCCCCCTCTCCACCCCTACCATCCCTGTCCCCCCGACTCCACCCACCCGTTTATCTACACTCCCCTATTCCTACCCCCACCCAGACCCCGTCCCCATCCCATCCATCCCCCCTCCCCTCCCACCCCAATTCCCTACTCCCCCCCTTTTCCTACCCCACCCAGACCCTGTCCCCATCCATCCATCCTCCCCTCCCACCCCAATTCTCTTACTCCCCCCTTTTCCCTATCCCCACCCAGCCCCCGTCCCCCACCCCATCCATCCCCCCTCCCCTCCCCCTATTCCGCATCACCACGCCCTCTCCTTCTACAGACTGCCCGAGGACAGTCATTCGGTAGTGCGGTCGTTCCCGGCCTGCTCTGGTTTCCATTTTGGTTGCTGAGAAAGACAAAGGCGGTTATGTGATGATGGTGATGATGGGGATGAAGATGGCGGTAGCAGGCAGTACAGTGTCAAGAAAAAATAAGGCAGACGCAGCAGTCGTAGTTTTTTAGTCGTAACAAACAAGAGCAGCAGCAGTAGTTATGGCAGGAACACCTGTGACAGTAACAGCAAGACCAGCAGTAGCAGCAATCGTGACCACAAACGATAATCATAACAGAGGTTATATATTCATAATCATAACTCTTACTGTAACGCATGAATATAAAACCGGTTTTATTCACCTCGTGGGAAGCCGTTGGCCGGGGTGAGCGAAGGCGGGACAAAGAAGGCGAGGATAAAAAGAAAGAAAAAAAATCAGACGAGGTTAGAGCAGGAGGAAAGCGACTGACTGGAGGTTCAGGCGACGACATGACCTTGAAGGCGGTGTTCCTGGAGCCTGCCCTGTCTCTACGGGCTTTATATATATTTTTTTTTACGTCTTTCTGTCTTCCTGTCTGTCTGTCTGTTTTTTTTTTTCCTCTATGGCTGTCCGTTTTATATTTTTTTACGTCTTTCTGTCTTCCTGTCTGTCTGTCTGTGTTTCCTCCATGGCTGTCTGTCATCCAATGTAATTATTTTATCTCTTCTGTCCTTTCTTTCCTTCTTTGTACCTACATATCCCTATCACTTTCCAATCTCTCTCCCCCGACCCCTAGCTCCCATTTCGTCCCATTTACGATTCTCCCACTCTCTCCCTCCTGCTTCCCCTCCCCCCTCCCCCTCCTAATCCCCCTCCCCTCGCCTCCTTCTCCCCCTCCTCTCCCCACACCCCACTCTCACTCTCCTCCATACCCCCCTCCCCCCTTTCCCCGCCCTCTCTCCCCTCTCAAGGAAATGCATATCCACCCCTAATCTATCCCCCCCAACCCCCCAACCCCTCCCACCCTGCCTCGCTATACAAGCATCGACGTGAACCTCGTGTCTTGCTCTGTCTCCGTTTCTTTGAAATTTGGTAACCAAACGCGTGATGACCAAACTTACCAAACTTTCCCATTCAAAATAGCATATTTCGCGTGTTCTGTATAAATTGGGATATACATAAAACTAAAAAGTGACAATATATAATACAGTTATTTCATTCTAAAAAAAAAAAAAAAAAAAAAAAAAAAAAAAAATCCTGAAGCTGATAATCAGATTCAAACGTCAACAAAGGAAATTGGTTACTGAGGCTCTTGTACATCTCCCAAGAATATGGGTGGAAGGGGAAAGGGTCTGAAAGGTAGAGAACTGGTAGATACAAAAGAGAGGGAATTGCAAAAACAAACAAGGGGGACAACTGAGGAGAGGAAAGGGCATGGTTGCAAGAGAGAGAGAGAGGAGAGAGAGAGAGAGAGAGAGAGATGAGAGAGAGAGACGAGAGAGAGACAGAGAGAGAGAGAGAGAGCAGCAGGAGGTTTACATCAAAACCAAAAACACACCGAAAAGTATAAAAAAAAAAAATGCACAACTAAAACAACTCAACACCAAAAAAACAAAACAAAGCAAAAGAAAGAAAGAGAGGAGACAACAGGAAAGAAAAGAGAGACGAGAGAAAAAAAAGAAGACACACACACACACACGCGTCACACACAGCCAGGACCACCACCTCCTCTGTGGGTGCCGCGTGATTCGAAACCTTTCCCCCACCAGAGGTCGACACCGTACTAACCCCCCTCCAGACGATGCCCCGAGCCCGACAAGGAAGATAAAATAGACAATCCCATTTCGGGACAATGACAAACATGGTTCTCGCCGAGTGAAAGCGAGGTTGCCTGCGAGAACCCACTTCTCTCGGGTACACTGGGCGAAGATGTTCAGAGAATAAAGAAGATTAAAAGAAAAGAATAAAAGATAAAAAAAAAGACGCTTCAGGCGATATACAGCTTTATTGTAGCTTGACGTAATGTAGTTCGATTCTCCCTCATCTGTTCTATATAACCATGCATACTTGAACTCTGCAAGCTCATCCCTGCCTCTGCAACAAAGCAACTGCAGAGAGATGCGTGCCCCAAAGACGACCCAAATGCCCAAGACGACCCAAAAGCGACCCAAATGCCCGACGACCCAAATGCCCCAAGACGAGCCACCTGCCCCAGACGAGCCAAATGCCCAAGACGCACCCAAAATGCCCCAAGACGCCACGCCAAGACGAGCACTGCCCCAAACGAGCCACCTGCCCAAGACGAGCCCCAAAATTGCCCAAGACGAGCCTGCCCCAAGACGAGCCAAATGCCCCAAGACGACCAAATGCCCCAAGCCAAACAAGCACCTGCCCAAGAAAGCACCTGCCCCAAGACGAGCCACCTGCCCCCAACAAACCACCTGCCCCAAGACCGACCACTGCCCCAAAGACGAGACACCTGCCCCAAGACAAACCACCTGCCCCAAGACGAGCCACCTGCCCCAAGACGAGCCACCTGTCCCAAGACAGACCCAAATGCCCAAAGACAACCCATCCTGCCCCAAGACGAGCCATCTGCGTCCCAAGAAGACGACCCAAATGCCCCAAGAAAACCCAAATGCCCCAGACGACCCAAATGCCCCAAGGACGAGCCCACCTGCCCCAAGACGAGCCACCTGCCCCAAGACGAGCCACCTGCCAAACAAGACAGCCACCGCGCCTCAAGACGTGTAGCCAAACCCCAAGAACTGTATCCAAATGCCCCCAAGGACGAAAGCCAAATTGCCCCAAGACCGAGCCAAAATTGCCCAAGACGAGCCATAATGCCCCAAGACGAGCAAATGCCCAAACGAGCCAAACCCCAAGACGAGCAAAGCCCCAGACAAACCACCCCCAGATCGAGCCACCTGCCCCAAACTAGCCATCTGCCCCAAGACCGATCCCAAACCCCAAGACGACACCTGCCCAAGACGACCCAAATGCCCAAGACGCAGCCACCTGCCCCAAGACGCACCCAAATGCCCCAAGAACGAGCCACCTGCCCAAGACGAGCCAAATGCCCCCCCAAGACGAGCCAAATGCCCCAAGACGAGCCAAATTGCCCCAAGACAAACCACCTGCCCCAAGACGAGCAAATGCCCCAAGACGACCATCCTGCCCCAAGACGACCCAAATGCCCCAAGACGAGCCACCCTGGCCCCAAGACGACCCAAATGCCCCAAGACGAGCCACCTGCCCCAAGGACGACCCAAATTGCCCCAAGACGAGCCACCTGCCCCAAGACCGCAGCAAAATGCCCCAGACGAGCAAATGCCCCAAGACAAACCACCTGCCCAAGACGAGCCACCTTGCCCCAAGACGAGCCACCTGCCCCAATGACGAGCCAAATGCCCCAAGGACAAACCACCTGCCCCAAGACGAGCCAAATGCCCAGGGACGAGCCACCTGCCCCAAGACGAGCCACCTGCCCCAAGACGAGCCACCTGCCCCAAGACGAAGCCACATGCCTCAAGGACGAGCCACCTGTCCCCAAGACGAGCCACCTAGCCCAAGACGAGCCACCTGTCCCCAAGACGAGCCACCTGTCCCCAAGGACGAGCCACATGCCTTCAAAGAACGATGCCACCTTGTCCCCAAGACGAGCCACTTGCCCCAAGACGAGCCACCATGCCCCAAGACCGAAACCACCTGCCCCCAAAGACGAAGCCACCTGCCCCATGACGAGCCACCTTGCACCCAAGACGAGCCAGCCTGCCCAAGACGAGCCACCTGCCCCAAGACGAGCCACCTGCCCCAAGACGAGCCACCTGTCCCCAAGACGAGCCACCTGCCCCAAGACGAACCACCTGCCCCAAGGGACGAGCCAACCTGCCCCAAGATGAGCCACCTGCCAAGGACGAACCACCTGCCCCAAGACAGAGCCACCTGGTCCCTAAGACGAACCGCATTGCCCCAAGACAAACCCACCTGTCCCCAAGACCTGGACGTCGCGGAGGAAGGCGACGTTCAGGGGGGGGGGGGACGGGAGCCCCTATCTCAAGCCCCAATTACCCGGCTGTACATCAAGGTAATCGCCAGGAATAGAAAATGGCTTGTGCGGGGGGAGGCGAGGGAAGAAGGGCATGAAAGGGGGGATGAGAGGGGGAGGGGAGGGGGGAGGGAGAAGGGATGCAGAGGGGGAGTGGGAAGGGGGGATGAGAGGGGGAGGAGAGAAGGGATGAGGAGGGGGCGGGGAGGGGAGGAGGGGGTGAGAGGGGGGCGGGAGGCGTGGGAGAGAAGAAAGAAGTGCATGGGAAGGGAAGAAAAGTATTGGATTATAAAAGAGAGAGAGAGAGAGAGACGAGCAGAGACGAGAGAGGAGAGAGAGAGAGAGAGAGGAGAGACGAGAAAGAGAGAGAGAGCAGAGAGAAAGAGAGAGAGAGAGGAGAGACAGAGAAGCAGACGAGAGAGAGAAAGACGTGAAGTAGGGCGCAGGAGGAGGCGCCAGAAGTGAGCAGGAGAAAGAGAAGAGAGGAGGAGGGGAAGGATGAGGAAAAGACTA